AATTATTATCAAAAAGCCTCACTAATATTCTTTATGAATTATTTAAGAACATTATTAATTCTACTTACAAACTTCTGTATCTTTGGATCTCCTTCCCTTATTGTGAACAATGACAGTAAAACTATAGATATCTTGAGGAATATCCCTGTAAATGACTTGGTTAAATTAAAATATTTCTAATACTATATTCCACTCAAGTGGGGGTACAAAAGTTATATCAAACTTCCCAGAAATGAAAGAATATCACACAAAACACATCAACACATGCTTCAACATCTGAAATATTTTAAATTTGTGTCTATTATGAAGATCCAACCAAGCTGGAGATATGGTACTTAGTCATCTAACCAACATAAACCTCTAATTGCCAAGTATAAGGCAAGGAACTACGATTTCTGTAATGTCCTTAAGAAACATGAAATAGAGGAGTGTGCCAACCCCACCCATCCATCCAGCCTCACGCTTGCAAACTAAGATTAAATTACCACTACCTTAACAGTACTACATTTGTTTTTATACGATGCATACTTAATAGCACTTAAAATCCACATTTTTCACACTTGATACTTACTCCAAAACAAACTCATCTTCCCATACTGGATTTGGTGCCTCTTTTGCCTCTGTACGGCAAACTTTGACCTCATTTATTGAAACTGTGCAGTAGGGATGAGGCACACTTTTTACAGGAAGACGGTGGGCATCTAATACATGAATGTTCAAACTTAATAGCTGTCTTAAGGAACTTTTTGCAGGAGTGGTGTTGATACAGTATGGTTTCAGAGCCTGCACCCATTCCTATGTTGAAAAGAAAAAACTTATTGTAAAGTAAAAGTGTTTGTAATTAATTAAATAGGCCTACATTTATTAAATAATTTTAACAAAATTTACTCAGAAATATTGTAAAAGAACCTTATGATGCCTAACTCTTATCTTTTATTTAATATATGGACAGGTTATATATATAATTTTAAAACAACAGACCTATGTAGTTTTTTAGGGTTTAGTGCAAATTGTCGCTGAACTTTAAAGATTATTATAATGGTACATTTGCTAGCAATTTCCAAAGTTCAAATTTTAATGTGATATGTAAAAAATGCTAACTGTGGTCTAACTACAGGTGTTGATAATCTGAGATTAAATTTGAAATATTCAATATTCACCAAATATCACTTAAGTCAAGGCAAGAAAATAACAGAAAATATTACCTGTGCAGTATCAGCATTTTCAGCACACAAATAATGGACTGAAAAGTGGTTTAAGGCTCTAACCACCAGCTGAAAACAGCTGGGCCTGCGAAAAAAGGTAGAAACAAAACCCACATACATAAAAAAGTCAACTGATTAAACTGGGATGAATGGGAAAAAGTGAAAGTGTGCACTGACAGATTGTGTTAATACTAGAAGAACACTACAAAGACTGTCAACTCTATCAACTTGCAGGTATTAATACTAGTCAGACTAATGACAACATCAATAAAAAAATAACCAAATAATAACAAAAATAAATAAATTAACCTATGAGTAATTATGGTTAAATTATATCTCTTTCAGAATGGATTCTTACCTTCCAAATAAACTGTCATGAACTGGGTAAAGTGAGCTGTAACTGAGGTCTATCAGACCTTTTGGTTTGGAGCGCTGAAAAAGTAATTCTGGGTATTTCATTACTTATCCAATAGTAATTTACTTCAAAACCTACCCTACTCAGTAGTTTGAATTCATTTAAAATCATAACAACAATAAAATTAAAACACGAAAAAAGTGAAATGCAATGTTGGATGCCCATCCTTAGAAGAAAGCACTTAAGACAATATAACTTCAAGGAATTTGTAGATCTTTGTACCTTATCATTTTCAAAAAAGTATAACTGATGCTCGGTCCCATTCAGTACAAAGTGCATATTTTTCCATTTGTTTCCTCTTTCACCTGCAAATGTAAAGGTATCACATTGTTTTATTTAACTCACTGATAAAAATTGCTTACAACAGATATCTTTCCTTATGAATTAAATGGTATAATACCTTGTTTTAGTCAAAAATTGTAATTTTAATATTATTTACTCATCCTTTGGGATAAATATGAACTTGTAAGTTGCAGATGCTGGAAAATCACACGCAAATGAACAGCACCAGCAGTGGTTCGATGGGAAAAGGGTTATCTTGAACACTTTTGGAATGTGTAAAATGCTAGGGCTGTCAACGTCTATTCAAATTTTTACGAGACATTTGGGCAAGGGAAGAATCCTGCTCTGTAAAACCATGTTTGAATGTCAAAAAAGACCCATAATGAATATGCAAAGATGATATCTGTCACAACTAGCAAGAGAAAAATCTCTTGATCTTAAAACAATAATTGAGAATATTGTAGGTAAAGGGAATTCAATTTTACAATCATTGCACATAACATACAGAAGTTTTCAAGCTGTGAAGCATCAGGACATTAACTTAATCGTGATACTGACCAGGACTTTTGGTAAAAATATCTCTATGAAGTATGCATAACTACATGGTTTCTAGTATTTAGTATTTAGTAATTTTGTAAATATTTCAAGGTACCCGCAGCCTTATTATTAATAAATAAAATTCTTACTAATACCATATCAATTTTAGGCAATTCTGAAGACATAAAGAGACTTACTTTTTTTGTTCAAAAATCCTTTCAGGACAATGTGATCATTTCTGTTGATGAGAAAATTTGAACCACTACTTTGCATCTGCCGTATTGTAGCATAGATCTGTCTTGTTCTTGCATCCGTTTCATCTGTATCCAGTTCATGGATACATTCATCACCTTCTGTTGCATTCTGTAATTTTTTAACAAATCTTCAATGATCAAAGAATATTTCTAAAATCATAATGAAGCTGATGTAAAAAAGTATAAGTGGCCGCTAAAAGGCCACGTTTTGCTTTATGCGCCAATAATTTCTCTCTTCTACTCCAAAGCATTAAATTATGACATTTTCAAACAATCATTAAATATCTAAGCTTTTTGTCATATGGATAATATATGTGTATATACTCATTCTTTGTCTAATAATTCATTGAAAATTCACAAATATTACAAATCTTTACTTCCCCAGATCATGATATCTTACCCGTAGAACAGGATCTCCTAAAGTGTGCCCTTCAACAATTTGCTCTTTTTTGTACCGTCCTATTATGGCCCTAATACTGAAACAAGGAGCATCAGAATCACCATTCAATGAAGCCATCCTATTCTTTTGTCTTTCCACTACAAAATATTCACAAAGATCACATATTTTGGGTCAAGTGTAACTGTGATAATTTCCTTAAGAGTTCCAGAGAAGTAATTTAATATCAAATATTGAAATCTTGAGAAGGACATGATTGTCAAAGCACAATGATTCGGAAAATAATTTGCCAATAAGCCAGCTTCAACTGACAGATGGAAAAGTGGCAAATTAATACAGCAATATTTTGGGACCCATTACCTAGCCCAAATTTCTAAAGACAGTTTACAATAGAACTGCTTCATTTAGTAGAATGACTGAGAATGTGTGACAAAGTACTTTTTGTAATTCTGTAATTTCTTTTTGTAATTTCTGTAATTCTGGTATTTAGACTTTCATCAACACACCAGAAGACATAGAAACATACCTTTCAAAATATCTTCCTCCTAAGGCAAACTGGCTCCCTTTTCTGGATATTTTAAACTTCTGAATTTGATTTTCAACATAAAAATACAGTGTGAAGTCACCAGGTGACATTTCACTTGGTCTGACCAGAAAACTACCAGGACCAGCTGTAAAAAAGTTAGATGACATTAAAACAAATTACCAAACTCAACAACTCTTTCTTCATCTCAATTATTTGATCAATATATATTACTGAATGAAAATATATAATTAATTACTGCAATCTGATGTCTTACCTTGACCAAGTTTCTGTGAGACCTCTTGTTTCGTAATACTTGGATGAAACCAAAGATTGTTTTCCACAAGATCAACACTGCCATTCTAAATATTAAAAGACAAACATTTAAATTTTTGCTTCCTTTAACAATAAACTTTGGATGAATTGAGGATTTAGCATCTAACAGTCACAATGAGCTATTCAGAAACAAACCAGAATAGTAATAAGAGTTTAAGAGGTCTGATGTACAGACCAGTGCCTGTTTTTGTAATTGTACAATTAACAATCATGCTATAAACAATATACTGAAAAAGCAAAAGATTCTTACCAGATCTTCAACCAGCTCTTGGTACACAATGCCACTCTCTTTAGTTCTAAGAGATGTTACCCATATCCAGCCATCCCCTAATTCATTATGTACCAAGAAAACATCACCTTTTTCGAAGCTAAAAGAAAATTGTTCAGATTAACTATAAATAATTATGCTGACTGAAAAAAAATATATGGTCATTGGATCACTGAGGCTCTTTTTTGTGCTAATGACTGCAACCCTGGTTTGTTGCTGGATTTCATGAGAAGGCCTGTGATACATGTAATGTCTTTGCTTCTGTGACATCACACTACTGGACCTATGAGAACAGTCATTCTCTCATACTTCAATAATAATTAATGTTTTCATCTTAAGTATCAAACAACATTACTGAAGACGTCAAATGACAAGCTGCAGCAATTAGATATAGAATAGGCATGCATCCATTTTCAAATCTCTTGATTCTTAAAAAAGATCAAATTTTTATTTCTATAATAGTGAATCTGGCAGTGAAGAAAGGGTGTAAATTTTGGAAATCATTTTTCTCGTTAACATTTTACCTTAATTCATCTGTATCAGGTATTTTGTTGTAAGGTAATATTGCAATAACTCGCCGCTTATCATCTACAGGCTGAAATGATAATCATATTTAAAAATCACACAAGTAATTGGAATCCTATTAATATCCATCAGAACAAAAACAAATTATTTTCATAAAATGTAATCATTAAGCTATCTTTATTTTTCTACTTTTGATTACTCATTTCATTAAATTTTTATATTTCAGTCTTCTTCATTTAACATTTTATATGTCATGATATTTCATTTAAAAAAATTAATTAATATGTTACAATGAAATATTTTATGTCTAAGTAACTAAAACTGTATTTTTTCATTAATGAAATATATGACATATCCCTTCTTTTATTAAATACAGTACGTTTACATGATAACTACAACTGAACTTACTTCTGGGGGAGGAATGGGCATTTTTAACCGTTCCCCTTTTAAAAGATCTGATACCTTGGTATAATACCCAATCAAATCCGACAGGGAATCAAACTGGCGCCCTCCTATATAATAATCTCCACACATGGCAGTAATTCTGAAAAGAATATGTTTTTATTTAACTCATAAACTGGCAAGAATTTTTCCGTTATTTCCACATTAGCACAGTCTACTTATGCAACTATTATCTCAATATGAAACAAGTGTTAGCTTACTTATAACTGGGGCAAACGTTTCAACATTACAGTGAACATTATTCTGATGAATGATATAAATGTTGAAAACATATTCACTTAACCTTTACTGTGATTTGTATAGCCCTATGATAATTGTGACTTTCCTTTCATCCAATATAACAAATTAGCACCTCAAACGAGAGTTAGGATATCAATATGCAAAAATTTTGCTAGCTGCAAATTCTTTTAACTAGTCCAATAAAACACATTTTTTTAGAATCTTGACATAATGAATATCACGTTCATATTAAGAATGCTTATATTCCAAATGATAAGGCAGGAAATTTAAAGAACAGCTGATGAATTATTCAGATAATGTGGGTGTCACAAAATAATTTTACCATGGGTCAGTCAGACAAGTGATTTGTTCTATTTTTGTTTTGCTGATATTCAGTTTTTTTGCCAAGAGACCAGTGTTAATTCCCAACACTGCACTTCAAAAATGCACGGAATTCATGTGTTACCACTCCTATTTTACATTTTCTGATATACACTTTAAGTGCTATTGCATGAATGATATAGACAATATACATTGCCATTTATGGACATCTGAACATGTGAAGTAAGTCAAATTATGGCACAAGATTTTACCTGACAGAAAGATTCTGTGCAGAACTGTATACAAAGGAAGTTGCTTGGCCCATATGATAATCTGATAGCTTGTTTCAAAGAAGGAAACAATCACTGATATACCTCCCACATTCAGAAGTCCATTAATTGCAGTCTTCAATGGATGTATGATTATATGGATTTTTTTTACTACACTTCCCAGCTGATTTTATTTGTAATTGTGCATGTTTTATAGTAAACTGTTTTGTATCTAAATTACCTTACATATTAATTGCCTTCAGTCTCTTGGGACAAACGTGCCTAAAAGTTGATACTAATTTGTTGCCAAATGACCAAACAATATAATATACCTGAAGTGGTTGATTCCAGTTTCTCCAAGAAATGAGAGGACATATTGACCATGTTTTCTTTCAGACTCCCTTATCAAATAGGAGCCATTCTCTCCCTTTGTGCGTAATCTATCTTCAGCAGTTTGTCTGTCCAGACGGCCATGGTACCACCTGATCGAAGATAGACGATCTATCATAATTCACAACATAATATAGATAATGCATGCATGTGCTTTATTAAATAACAGCTTTCTAGTGTGGAAACAACAATATAGAAACTCACATTGAAATTATTAACCCCCCAAATATTTTTGATCTTTTATTACAAAAGAGTAAACAATCAATATTCCATGTTCAAAAACTTCTTCAATGTCACCAGATACTAATGGTAATGATTATAAATATTACATTAAAAGTAACAAATTCACTAATCATGCTAGTATGCTGCATGAAATTAATCTTCCATTCTGCAGAAAACTTGACAAAAGATGAGAAGTCCAAGGATTTGTTGAGGCTTCCACACTACTCAATTTTTATATAGTAAATATATCATAATTAAAATAAAGTCGGCCATAAACTCGGTCACAAAAGTATGCTGAAAATTTCCATGTACGTGCCAACAGCACCCCACCCCCTCAATCCAGACTAAAAACAATGTTGAATTAATTAAGCGCAGTATAATCGTCTCATGAAAGACTTAATGTATTTTACATGAATATTTTACAAACCAACTTCGACCAGGCCACGAATGAAATAGGAATGAGTGAAACTCGGGCGACAAGCAGGGGAGAAATTATCGAATCAACCACGGTGCAAACGACACTTACTGTGATTCGGGCGGTGCGGCTAGAGACACGTCCAAGTTTTCATCCACTCTTTCTACTTCTCCTGAATAAGGGTCAAACTCTTCTGTTAATTCTGCAGGGTCAGACGTGTCTCCTGGAGGTTCGGCCATGTTATTGCCCCTGCACCCATTTCAGACCGCAGTCACAAATTGGACGAATTTGATTGGCTGAAATTAATGCGGTCAAAGGTACTGTTCGTTTTTGTTTATAGTTATTTGTTTACTTCCTGTTTTAAATTTTTTTCCAAACGCGTTCATGTATCACAAAATGTGCATTGATATGAACGATGTTGTTATATCAAAAGAAGAAGAAGGAATAAATGGATTAATTTCAATTTCTGGCTAAATATATACACGCATGAGTTATTAAGGGCTTTGGTGCAATTTTTGACAATTTGCTGTAAATGTTATATAGATTACATAATTGGAGTAGTCCCACATCTTTCACATATTTCACTAAAGGACTTATTACTCTTATCAGCTTTCAAATTTGGACTTAATAAAACCTCGAGCCAATACAGACAGCTGGTGTTGTATTTTTTAAATAACTTTTTATACTGAGGATAAAAACATGGCAAATATAAAATTAATCTTCCCCATGGCCCTGATATTTGGCACAAGGGGCTATTCTATCACTTTTCTTGTAAACATATTTTCATAGCGGAAGAGCAAACATAAGTTGGGTTGCCAATTCCTACATGTAGTTTTGGAATTTTTTTGGGACTCGCACCAACACCAAAAGATAATTCTTAAAAGGATAACAACTGCTCATTTTGCAAAAAAAAAAAAAAAAAAAAAAAAAAAAAAAAAAATTCCTGGGATGGACAACAATTGTCCCATACTTACCATTGGTTAATGAATCCATTTCAACATTCAGAGTTAGTCCCTGGTTTTTTCTAAAAAGTTTTTTTTTTCTTAAAAGATTATTACAGAGTATAGCCATCTACTAGTACATGTATAGAGGCCATGTGGTGGGATGGCAAGCACATATTTCAGATATATTGCTATTGCTGTCATTTATGTGGTAAAATAGAATATATTATATTTCTATGCGTTGTTTACAATGTATTTATCGTAAAATATAGATCTCATACGAAGAGTTGTTATCCCTTTAATATCGACTTATCTCACCAAAAGCTAAATCTTTTTGTTTTGTAAGCCTCATAAAATATGACCACTTAATGTTAATCATTTACAGATCATTATTTCAAAATGTGTTCTCTAACAATCTATGAAATAAAATTGTTAAATAAGAGCAGCTTGCAAAACAAGTATTTATAGTTAATTCAGTATTAATACAATATGAATGACTCATGATGTAGCTCACATTCTTCAACGTCAAAATCTTTTGAAGTGAAATATTCAAAATAACTTAATATATATTGTATTAAATAAATGATGATTACAAATGTACACTGGAAAATTTTCAATATGAGCTTCAAACAATGTAACAATTTGCCATGATCTTGCCAGAAGAGCTGAACCATTGAATGCTTTAAAGGTGTAGAGTGTAAGATTTTCCTGTGAGAAACTTTACAAATTTTCCTGGGGTAAAAAGTATAATATTTCACTAGCCATAACTTAAAAATCTGAGACAATTAAAAGGTCCTTAACCAACACTTAAGTGATGCTGTTTTATGGAAGGTTTCAAGAATTCTCTCAGTGTTTGTCAAACACCCCCCCCCCCAAAAAAAATACTGTATGATGTCAGTATAATATAATAACATTTTTATTCTCTCACTATGTCTACACAACCAATGTAGGTTGTGTCATTTTCATGTTGACCATATTGTAAAGCATTCATGTACTACATGTCAGGAGTTGTCAGCAGACAAGTTGCTTTCAGACCCAGTCACTTGATACACCCCCACTATATACCAAAACATGATTTCATGTAGTACAGCAAACTGTTAAAATGAACATCAAATATGTTTGAACTGTAAAGAAATGGTACAAGATTTAAGTTGATTTTTGTTTAAATTTATTACCACTGTTCAAAGCAATGAATATTCCGTACAAAAATGATTATGTATCTATGAGTCCTCTTTTATAAAGAAATATTTCAGCATGATAGTTTATTCTTTCATTTCATTAAACGCACATCTTCCAATTTTTATTTTTGTTGACTGTGGGAGGTATCCTCAAGTGGCTACCTGAAATTTAAAATAAGATGACTTAATGATGCATTTCCTGTTGTAACCCAAGTCTATGATAACACTTATACCCACTACTGAAAAAATAAATAAATAAATAAATAAATAAATAAATAAAAGAAAAAGAAATAAAAAGATTTTAATCAATTCTAGATACATGTTAGTAGAATTGTCCTCTCATATATTAAAACGTTAAGTATGAGTTAACTAAACAATTATAAAACTTCATGGTGTTGATGGCTAGCCATCACATATCCCCGCAATTCGCCACAATGGGGCCATTCAGAATAGATGATCCAAGTACTTACTGATCCCCTGACTAAATATGGCCGACCACTCTTCAAAAGCAGTGCCGCCGATTCCAGATGGTCTACCTGCCTCCACACATGTCATTTTAATTTTAAAATGGATTAAATATCGGCTCCAGAGTTTAATTGCTAGGTCCCTGCAGCGACAGCACGTGTAGAGGCAGGGAGACTATCATGGAATTATGGAATTGGCGGCATCGCTTTTATCTTGTCAATCAATGTTCTCACTCCAATGGTTTAGGAGGAGATAGCACAAACAGTGTGAAAAATAGAATAATCTGAAGACCAAACCCCAGACAGCACTAAAATTCAGAAGGGCCAATGAACACCCCTGATGAAATGTCTATCAATCACTTATTATAAGTTCCAACTTCCATATTCTAGGGGGAGACAGTGCAATATTATAAATGGATGGACAAATGGATGCAGGTGAGATAACATGGTCCCTGAATTTTGTCACAAAAAAGCATGGATAATATTTTTCCATATCCATCTTACCTAACTGTGGCTCATCTCTTGGTTGCCTTTCCTGTTGCATAGACTGTAGAATGCTATTCACCGTTGCATCTGGTCCAGTTATCTAAAGACAGAGAAAAACAATAAATGTTAACTTTAAAACTAAGGTTGTCAAAACATCAATTTTATTATGCGTATTTCAGGTTTTGATAATAAGATGTTTAATTATCTATGTCCACAAAAAATGTATATACTTAGTAAATACAAATAGGGGGGTCCCATTTCCACTCACTGGGCACTATATTTTTCATGGTCCCTGAGAGATTGTGCACTATTTGTTTATAAGCTGTTGTGAGAATAAACCATTGTTTTATAAAAAATATACATATATATTAACAACTATCAACAAATTAAATCTTAACCAACTATCATCAAATCAAATCTTAATGTAGAACAAAAGCAGGATTGTGGTGACAAAATGTCACAATATAGCATACAAAGAAAATTCCTACCAGCTGACTGGTTTGATTCGTGCCCTCCATACTGCCATCCCATATTGTAGGTATCGACCTTTCAATGAGCTGCAGCAATTGGTCAAAGTTTTTCTGTAGTTTACTGGCTTGGTCTTCATAATCAAACATCACAAGCATATGCAGAAGACTTTTTATTTCATCTGAAGTAAACAAATGTTATCAGAAATTCTTAAGTAATCCTTTAATATCATGAATTGAATAACTGGGCTAGATGCAAGTCTGATTTTCCCACACTGCTATTTAACCAATACTTTAATTGCTTAATTTGTTAAACACAAATCAATACACATAAGTAAAAACGAATGAAAATGTGACAAATTTAGCTGTCTGCATCCTGTGCTTACCTTTCATCTGCTCTGTGCAAGTTATATAGTTGGACAAAGCTTCCACTAAGGCCAAGTCTTCGTGTGCACTGCCTTCTTTTAAGCTCCACTTTTTTCTTTCAGTTTTTCTGCGATTTTTAGATGACTTTCTGAAAAGTTTTAAACAAAAAAAAAAAAAAAAAAAAAAAAAAAAAAAAAAATTAATGTAATCATCAAGATTCTGAAAACAGTGTTCATCACATTAATACTTATATTTCACCAGAAGCTGTAGCAAATAAGTATTTTCAAAAGAGGAGTCAAACCTAAAATAAAAACAGCCAGCCATAGCAGAGTACAAATCACACAGAGAGCACATACCAGATGAGCCTGATATTTTTGAATTTTTAACATTATTTTATTGTTATTATTCGGTAAGTATAAGTGATATCAAAACAAATAATGAGATTTTAGTATGAATAAGAAAGTGAAAGTGACCTACCCTGATGTCCTGGAGGCTACTGACGACCTCTGACTACTGGTGGTGTACTTGGAGGACTGAATACTTTCCCCTGTGGCACTACTAGCATCAGAGAATAAGTCTGCATCTGCATCATTGTATGTGCCACAGCCTTCTGCAATGAAATCATTGTGATCAATTAACAAATACATGTTTATTTATGAAAACTGACCTATCAATGTGAGATTGAAACAAATTTTTATTATATTTCAATTAACTTAAGCAAAGAAAAGTGCAGCATGATAAATTTTAGAATACTTTTTCATTTAAACTTCTTTTACTGTCCTTTTACCAGGGCAAGAAAAAATCTAATTTAAAAGTTAAATGTGAATAAATATGATGTCATTATATACATATATCTTTACATCACTTGCAAAATGTAATCGAAGAATTAGTGTGAAAGCAAAAAAAAAAAGTATATATATATATATATATATATATATATATATATACTCAACCTAGCAATTCAAGCCTCTGTCTTTCCTTTTCCTTCCTAACAATCACCAAGCGAGTTTTGTGCTTCTGAAACACTTCTTGAGTGTCTTCTATGAAATTCAGCTGCTGCTCACACTTTTCCAATAATGCAGCTTTTAAGTTGCTTTCAATAAAATCTGTTCTTTTCCATTTGTGCATCTGGAAGAGAAATTGACAGAAAATGTTTTAGGAGGATAACATTGCTTGTACCTGAAGATATAAATGCATTACCACTTACAAAAAAATTAGAGCAAATGACATCAATAGAAAGCATGCAACTGGCATACTATTTCACAAAATTTCACACCATATGAATAATATATTGATATCAATTTCCAACTGAACAAACTGCTCACCAAAATTTCAAAACTGNTGGATGAAACCAAAGATTGTTTTCCACAAGATCAACACTGCCATTCTAGATATTAAAAGACAAACATTTAAATTTTTGCTTCCTTTAACAATAAACTTTGGATGAATTGAGGATTTAGCATCTAACAGTCACAATGAGCTATTCAGAAACAAACCAGAATAGTAATAAGAGTTTAAGAGGTCTGATGTACAGACCAGTGCCTGTTTTTGTAATTGTACAAATAACAATCATGCTATAAACAATATACTGAAAAAGCAAAAGATTCTTACCAGATCTTCGACCAGCTCTTGGTACACAATGCCACTCTCTTTAGTTCTAAGAGATGTTACCCATATCCAGCCATCCCCTAATTCATTATGTACCAAGAATACATCACCTTTTTCGAAGCTGAAAGAAAATTATTCAGATTAACTATAAATAATTATGATGACTGAAAAAAAATATATGGTACATTGGATCACTGAGGCTCTTTTTTTGGGACTAATGACTGCAACAATGGATTGTTGCTGGATTTCATGAGAAGGCCAGTGATAGATGTAATGTCTTTGCTTCTGTGACATCACACTACTGGACCTATGAGAACATTCATTCTCTCATACTTCAATAATAATTAATGTTTTCATCATAAGTATCAAACAATATTACTGAACAGGTCAAGTGACAAGCTGCAGCAATTAGATATAGAATAGGCATGCATCCATTTTCAAATCTCTTGATTCTTAAAAAAGATCAAATTTTTATTTCTATAATAGTGAATCTGGCAGTGAAGAAAGGGTGTAAATTTTGGAAATCATTTTTCTCGTTAACATTTTACCTTAATTCATCTGTATCAGGTATTTTGTTGTAAGGTAATATTGCAATAACTCGCCGCTTATCATCTACAGGCTGAAATGATAATCATATTTAAAAATCACACAAGTAATTGGAATCCTATTAATATCCATAAGAACAAAAACAAATTATTTTCATAAAATGTAATCATTAAGCTATCTTTATTTTTCTACTTTTGATTACTCATTTCATTAAATTTTTTATATTTCAGTCTTCTTCATTTAACATTTTATATGTCATGATATTTCATTAAAAAAATTTAATTAATATGTTACAATGAAATATTTTATGTCTAAGAAACTAAAACTGTATTTTTTCATTAATGAAATATATGACATATCCCTTCTTTTATGAAATATAGTATGTTTACATGATAACTACAACTGAACTTACTTCTGGGGGAGGAATGGGCATTTTTAACCGTTCCCCTTTTAAAAGATCTGATACCTTGGTATAATACCCAATCAAATCTGACAGGGAATCAAACTGGCGCCCTCCTATATAATAATCTCCACACATGGCAGTAATTCTGAAAAGAATATGTTTTTATTAAACTCATAAACTGGCAAGAATTTTTCCGTTATTTCCACATTAGCACAATCTACTTATGCAACTATTATCTCAATATGAAACAAGTGTTAGCTTACTTATAACTGGGGCAAACGTTTCAACATTACAGTGAACATAATTCTGATGAATGATATAAATGTTGAAAACATATTCACTTAACCTTTACTGTGATTTGTATAGCCCTGTGATAATTGGGACTTTCCTTTCATCCAATATAACAAATTAGCACCTCAAACGACAGTAAGGATATCAATATGCAAAAATTTTGCTAGCTGCAAATTCTTTTAACTAGTCCAATAAAACACATTTTTTTAGAATCTTGACATAATGAATATCACGTTCATATTAAGAATGCTTATATTCCAAATGATAAGGCAGGAAATTTAAAGAACAGCTGATGAATTATTCAGATAATGTGGGTGTCACAAAATAATTTTACCATGGGTCAGTCAGACAAGTGATTTGTTCTATTTTTGTTTTGCTGATATTCAGTTTTTTTGCCAAGAGACCAGTGTTAATTCCCAACACTGCACTTCAAAAATGCACGGAATTCATGTGTTACCACTCCTATTTCACATTTTCTGATATACACTTTAAGTGCTATTGCATGAATGATATAGACAATATACATTGCCATTTATGGACATCTGAACATATGAAGTAAGTCAAATTATGGCACAAGATTTTACCTGACAAAAAGATTCTGTGCAGAACTGTAAACAAAGGAAGTTGCTTGGCCCACATGGTAATCTGATAGTTTGTTTCGAAGAAGGAAACAATCACTGATATACCTCCCACATTCAGAAGTCCATTAATTACAGTCTTCAATGGATGTATGATTTAATGGAATTTTTTTACTACACTTCCCAGTTGATTATTTATAATTGTTATCAAGTGCACGTTTTATAGTAAACTGTTTTGGATCTAAATTACCTTACATCTTAATTGCCTTCAGTCTCTTGGGACAAACGTGCCTAAAAGTTGATACTAATTTGTTGCCCAATCACCAAACAATATAATATACCTGAAGTGGTTGATTCCAGTTTCTCCAAGAAATGAGAGGACATATTGACCATGTTTTCTTTCAGACTCCCTTATCAAATAGGAGCCATTCTCTCCCTTTGTGCGTAATCTATCTTCAGCAGTTTGTCTGTCCAGACGGCCATGGTACCACCTGATCAAAGATAGACGATCTATCATAATTCACAACATAATATAGATAATGCATGCATGTGATTTATTAAATAACAGATTTCTAGTGTGGAAACAACAATATAGAAACTCACATTGAAATCATTAGCCCCCCAAATATTTTTGATCTTTTATTACAAAAGATTATACGATCAATATTCCATGTTCAAAAACTTCTTTAATGTCACCAGATACTATTGGTGATGATTATAAATATTACATTAAAAGTAACAAATTCATTAATCATGCTAGCATGCCGCATGAAATTAATCTTCCATTCTGCAGAAAGCATTACAAAAGATGTGAAGTCCAAGCATTAGTTGAGATTTCCACACTACTCAATTTTTTATATAGTAAATATATCATAATTAAAATAAATTCGGCCATAAACTCGGTCATAAAAGTATGCTGAAAATTTCCATGTACGTGCCAACAGCACCCCACCCCCTCAATCTAGACTAAAAACAATGTTTAATTAATTAAGCGCAGTATAATCGTCTCATGAAAGGCTTAATGTATTTTACATGAATATTTTACAAACCAACTTCGACCAGGCCACGAATAGGAATGAGTGAAACTCGGGCGGCAAGCAGGGGAGAAATTATCGAATCAACCACGGTGCAAAAGACACTTACTGTGATTCGGGCGGTGCGGCTAGAGACACGTCCAAGTTTTCATCCACTCTTTCTACTTCTCCTGAATAAGGGTCAAACTCTTCTGTTAATTCTGCAGGGTCAGACGTGTCTCCTGGAGGTTCGGCCATGTTATTGCCCCTGCACCCATTTCAGACCGCAGTCACAAATTGGACGAATTTGATTGGCTGAAAGTAATGCGGTCAAAGGTACTGTTCCTTTTTGTTTATAGTTATTTGTTTACTTCCTGTTTAAATTTTTTTTCCAAACGCGTTCATGTATCACAAAATGTGCATTGATATAAACGAGGTTGTAATATCAAAAGAAGAAGAAGGAATAAATGAATTAATTTCAATTTCTTTCTAAATATACATGCACGAGTTATTAAGGGCTTTGGTGCAATTTTTGAAAATTTGCTGTAAATGTTAAGAGTAGTCCCACATCTTTCACATATTTCACTAAAGGACTTTTTACTCTTATTAGCTTTCAAATTTGGACTTAATAAAACCTCGAGCCAATACAGACAGCTGGTATTGTATTTTTTAAATAATTTTTTATGCTGAGGGTAAAAACATGAAAAATATATAATAAATCTTCAATATGGCCCTGATATTTGGCATCAGGGGTTATTCTATCACTTTTCTTTTAAACATATTTCATAGTTGAAGAGCAAACATAAGTTAGGTTTGGAATTTTTTTGGGACTTGCATCAACACCAAAAGATTATTCTTAAAAGGATAACAACTGTTCATTTTTAATTGTCAAAAAATGAATTTTCCTGGGGTGGACGACAATTTTCCCACACTTACCATTGGTTAATGAATACATTTTAACATTCAGAGTTAGTCCCTGTTTTTTTTTCTAAAAAGTTTTTTTTTTTTGTGATAATCTCTTAAGAGATTATTACAGAGTATAGTCATCTATGGAGGTCACGTGGTCGGATGACAAGCACATATTTCAGATTTATTGCTATTACTGTCATTTATCTGGTAAAATAGAATATATTATATTTCTATGAGTTGTTTACAATGTATTTATTGTGAAATATAGATCTCATACGAAGAGTTGTTACCCTTTAATCTTTTTGTTTTGTAAGCCTCATAAAATATGACCACTTAATGTTATCAATTACAGGTGTTGCTTAAAATGAAGATCATTATTTCAAAATGTGTTCTCTAACAATCTATGAAAAAACAAGGCAGCAAAGCTGTCAAATGTACAGACAAAGAACAGAAAATAAAGATGCAAATAAGTGAAAAATTAAATTTTCACAAAAAACTGTTAAATTGCCAGAAAAATTTACCAAACAGACTGCGTTGCCTATTGAAGCTGTATGTTAGACCCATGTTTCTTTCCTGTAAGTTTGAGAACAGTAAGTGACATGATTTCCCTTAAATGGTCATCATAGGAGCAGTGCCCAAAATAGGGGTTTCTTCAAATTTTGATGCAACATTACATAATGTTTAACAGCATAATGACAATCAAATGTTATTAATAAAATATTAGTAACATGGACATTCAGAAAATGTGACAAGCAAAAGTCTTCAAGATCATGGAACTTTAAAGTCACACCTTGAAAATGCCAATATGTGAAAAATTAAATTTTCACAAAAAACTGTTTAACTGCCAAAATAAATAAATAAATAAATAAAAATACCAAACAGACTGCATTGCCTACTGAAGCTGTATTTTAGTCCCATGTTTCTTTCCTGTAAGTTTGAGANTCTGTACATAAAAAGTGAAATAAGAGCAGCTAGCAAAACAAGTGTTTGTAGTTAATTCAGTGTTAATACAATATGAAAGACTTATGGTGTAGCTCACATTCTTCAACATCAAAATCTTTTGAAGTGAAATATTCAACATAACTTAATAATATATATTGTAAATAAATGGTGATTACAAATGCACACTGGAAATTTTTCAATATGAGCTTCAAATAATGTAACAATTTGTTATCCAATAAAAAAGTGCCACAATTTCTTTTCAAATTATGACTATGATCTTCCATCTAATTAAATGCTTTTTGTAAGAGGGGTTTCCTTTTTTAGAGGGAAAATATTTAAAAATTATAAATTGCCAACTTTGTCCATGATCTTGCCAGAAGAGCTGAACCACTGAATGCATTAAAGGTGTACAGTGTAAGATTTTCCTGTGAAAAACTTTACAAATTTTCCTGGGGTAAAAAGTATAATTTTTCACTAGCCATAACTTTAAAAATCTGAGATAATTAAAAGGTCCTTAACCAACACATAAGTGATGCTGTTTTATGGAAGGTTTCAAGAATTCTGTGTTTGTCAGAAACCAAAAAAAAAAAAAAAAAAATACTGTACGATGTCAGTATAACATAATAACTTTTTTATTCTCTCGTTATGTCTACACAACCAATGTAGGTTGTGTCATTTTCATGCTGACCATACTGTAAAGCAGACAAGTTGCTTTCAGACCCAGTCACTTGATACACAAGCACAATATACCAAAACATGATTTCATGTAGTACAACAAACTGTTTAATTGAACATCAAATATGTTTGAACTGTCAAGAAATGGTACAAGATTTAAGTTGATTTTTGTTTAAATTAATTACCACTGTTCAAAACAATGAATATTCCTTACAAAAATGATTATGTATCTATGAGTCCTCTACTATAAAGAAATATTTCAACATGATCATTTATTCTTTCATTTCATCAAATGCATGTCTTCCAATTTTTATTTTTGTTGATTGTAGGAGGAATCCTCAAGTGGCTACCTGAAATTTAAAATAAAATGACTTAATGATGCATTGCTTGTTGTAACCCAAGTCTATGATAACATCAAAATCAATTCAAGATACATGCTAGTAGAATTGTCCTCTTATATATTAAAATGTTAAGTATGAGTTAACTAAATAATTATAAAACTTCATGGTGTTGATGGCTAGCCATCACATATCCCGCAATTCGCCACATAAATGTGGCCATTCAGAATAGATGATCCGAGTACTTACTGATCTGCTGACTAAATATGGCCGACCACACTTCAAAAGCAGTGCCGCCAATTCCAGATGGTCTCCCTGCCTCCACACCTGTCATTAAATGGATTAAATCTTGGCTCAGAGGTTTAATTGCTAGGTCCCTGCAGCGACAGCGCATGTGGAGGCAGGGAGACTATCATGTTGGTGGCATCGTTTATATCTTTCTGTCAATCAATGTTCTCACTCCAATGGTATAGGAGGAGATAGCAAAAATAATGAGAAAAATAGAATCATCTGCTCACAGGGGGAAAACCAAACCCCAGACAGCACTAAAATTCAGACGGGGCAATGAACACCTCTGATGAAATGTCTATCAATCACTTATTATAAGTTCCAACTTCCTTATTCTAATGATCTCAGGGGAGACAGCGGAAAATTATAAATGCATGGACAAATGGACACACGGGCAGGTGATATAACATGATCCCTGAATTTTGTCACAAAAATGCATGGATAATATTTTTCCATATCCATCTTACCTAACTGTGGCTCATCTCTTGGTTGCCTTTCCTGTTGCATAGACTGTAGAATGCTATTCACCGTTGCATCTGGTCCAGTTATCTAAAGACAGAGAAAAACAATAAATGTTTTAAATAAATGTTAAAACTTTAAAACTAAGGCTGTCAAAACATTAAAGGGATAATAACTCTTCGTTTCAGTCAAAAAATGAATTTTCCTGGAGTAAACAACAATTTCCCCATACTTACCAATGGGTAATGAATCCATTTTTACATTCAAAGTTAGTCCCTGGTTTTTTTCTAAAAAGTTTGGTTTTTTGTTAAGAGATTTTAACAGAGTATAGCCATCAATGGAGGTCACGTGGTCTAAAGACAAGCTCAGATATCAGAATAATAACTATAACTGCCGTTTTTGTGGTAAAACAGAATATATTATTTTTCTATGAGTTATTCACAATGTTTTTATTGTGAAATATAGATCTCAAACAAAGAGATATTATCCCTTTAATTTTATTATGCGTATTACAGGTTTTAATAATAAGATATTTAATTATCTACAAAACACAAAAAATGTGCACAAAAATGTATATACTTAGTAAATACAAATAAGGGGGTCCCATTTCCACTCACTGGGCACTATATTTTTCATGGTCCCTGAGAGATTGTGCACTATTTGTTTATAAGCTGTTGTGAGAATAAACCATTGTTTTATAAAAAATATACATATATATTAACAACCATCATCAAATTAAATCTTAATCAACTATCAACAAATTAAATCTTAATGTAGAACAAAAGCAGGATTGTGGTGACAAAATGTCACAATATAGCATACAAAGAAAATTCCTACCAGCTGACTGGTTTGATTCGTGCCCTCCATACTGCCATCCCATATTGTAGGTATCGACCTTTCAATGAGCTGCAGCAACTGGTCAAAGTTTTTCTGTAGTTTACTGGCTTGGTCTTCATAATCAAACATCACAAGCATATGCAGAAGACTTTTTATTTCATCTGAAGTAAACAATTGTTATCAGAAATTTGTAAGTAATCCTTTCATATCACAAATTGAATAATTGGGCTAGATGCAAGTCTGATTTTCCCACACTGCTATTTAACCAATACTTTAATTGCTTAATTTGTTAAACACAAATCAATACACATAAGTAAAAACAAATGAAAATGTGACAAATTTAGCTGTCTGCATCCTGTGCTTACCTTTCATCTGCTCTGTGCAAGTTATATAGTTGGACAAAGCTTCCACTAAGGCCAAGTCTTCGTGTGCACTGCCTTCTTTTAGGCTCCACTTTTTTCTTTCGGTTTTTCTGCGATTTTTAGATGACTTTCTGAAAAGTTTTAAACAAAAAAAATTAAATATAATCATCAAGATTCTGAAAACAGTGTTCATCACATTAATACTAATATTTCACCAGAAGCTGTAGCAAATAAGTGCTTTCAAGAGAAGAGTTTAACCTAAAATAAAAACAGCCAGCCATAGCAGAGTACAAATCAAACAGATGAGCCAGATATTTTTGAATTTTAACATTATTTTATTGTTATTATTTGGTAAATAAATATAAGTGATATCCAAACTAATAATGAGATCTCAGTATGAATAAGAAAGTGAAAGTGACCTACCCTGATGTCCTGGAGGCTACTGACGACCTCTGACTACTGGTGGTGTACTTGGAGGACTGAATACTTTCCCCTGTGGCACTACTAGCATCAGAGAATAAATCTGCATCTGCATCATTATATGTGCCACAGCCTTCTGCAATGAAATCATTTTGATCAATTTACAAATACATCTTTATTTATAAAAACCGACCTATAAATGTGAAGTTGAAACATTTTTTAAAATCATATTTCAATTAACTTAAGCTAAGAAAAGTGTAGCATGATAAATTTTAGAATACTTTTTCATTTAAACTTCTTTTATTGTTTTTTTACCAGGGCAAGAAAAAAATCTAAAGTTAAATGTGAATAAATATATCATTATATACATATATCTTTACATCATTTGCAACATTTAACCAAAGAATTATTGTGAAAGATTAAAAATATAAAAAAAACTCAACCTAGCAATTCAAGCCTCTGTCTTTCCTTTTCCTTCCTAACAATTACCAAGCGAGTTTTGTGCTTCTGAAAAACTTCTTGAGTGTCTTCTATGAAATTCAGCTGCTGCTCACACTTTTCCAATAATGCAGCTTTTAAGTTGCTTTCAATAAAATCTGTTCTTTTCCATTTGTGCATCTGGAAGAGAAATTGACAAAATGTTTTATGAGGATAGCATTGCTTGTACCTGAAGATATAAATGCATTACCACTTACAAAAAAATTAGAGCAAATGACATCAATAGAAAGCATGCAACTGGCATACTATTTCACAAAATTTCACACCATATGAATAACATATTGATATCAATTTCCAACTGAACAAACTGCTCACCAAAATTTCAAAACCGATTTCTGGATTTTCCTCAACTCATGATATATGATAAAACAAGTATTTACCAGTCTCAGTGCTTCTTCCCACTGGCAGCCCTCAATCAGAACTACAACAGCCTCTTCTATGTCCTGTAAAAATGGATAATGAGACTTACTGGTTGATCTGTAGCTTTATACTGTGGGTTCTAATAATGAAGGTATCACACCATGATTTCATAACTTACTTTAATATACTGCTCAAGGATACAAGCTGCTTCAGTGAACCTTCCAGCATTCTTCAATTCAGCTGAAAGGAGAAAATAAATAAAATCATAAAATAACAAAAATAAAAATTATAACAGCCCTGCAATTTCAATGCATACATCTCTTAATTCAGTACTGTAAAAAAAACAATACAAGAAGAAAAAATGCAACATCTACAGTTTAAATATTCTGTACTACCTACAAATAAAATTTCACCTCCAGGCATCCATATATCAGTTTTTAATAGTCATCTGAACAATTGTTATACAGCACTTACTGACAAGCATTCTAGATAAGTCATTCATTTTAGTTTCTTCATACTGTAGCTTTGCAGCCATAATGAGAGCCATTCTCCAGCTAAGAGCCTTTACAAATGCATTCAAAGCTTTCTCATGGTCCCCTGCTTTGCTATACATTAGCCCCGCATCTTCATACTGCTTCTTGTCAGACAGATGTGTCCCATATGCACTGGCAATTTCCTGAAGTTAATATTTGGACACTGATGATACTTATAAAAATGGAATAAAACGTGTTCAATGACAAACCAAAAAAACTTTCACAGATGCAATTTTTTGTATGGAGCAAAAAACTTTGTCTTTGCAAATTAAAAGTTTAACAAAAAATTGCAATCAAACAGAAAGATTTACCATGTACTCCTGGGTGGTTTTATCAAAGAGCTGAAGAGCTTGTGCATATAAGCTGTGATCTTTTACCAGTGTAAGGCACTCTGAGAAATGACTGGGACCTAAATGCAGTTACAGAGTACAAATTAATGGATGAAACAATCAAACACATAAAACTATAAACAAAATGAACCGATTCTTTAACTCCAAATCAGAGTGAAATACAAAAGTTCAATGATTAGTAGTACTTGTATTTGTGTCCCTCTTGCATTTGATGAAAATTTGATCATTTATCACTGTAAGAGATCATATACTGGATTTCCTGAAAAAATGAAATCAACACAATTTCCTGGAGTTCTAAACAATTTACTAGTCCTCACTGATTCTATCAAGTCTTAAACTTATATACTTCCTTTAAATATACATATTTTGACAACCACTTTTTCACCTGTCTAATAATTAGTAGGGTTTAGAAATTTCAATTAATTAAAGCATGAAACAAGCTTTTATACAAAAGCACAGGCCATCTTAAACGAAAACAAACATTTAATACATAATTTTCAAATGTTTGTGTCATAACTTTTTTTTAAAAATAATTTTTTTTCTGGTACACTCACCACACTTGGCAATGTGTCCAAGAGCTGAAGAATACCTCTTCAGGTGATTATCGATTGTAAATTTCTGGTAGTTGCTTTCCAAGGACTGCAGATGATTCAGGAAGGGTAAATATTCCTTGGGATCCTAGAAAACATATTTCAAGAACATCATTTTTAAACAAACTCTGTTAAAAACACACTAGCATTTCTCTAGATTGAATGTCTTTTGAAAAAACTGATCTGTTAGATGTGCATGTTCACATTTCAACCTCTTTCAAAACAAATACTGATAATAATACTTTGTCAAGACTGACTAACAAATTGTACTGAACTTTCAAATTTTTAACTGCACTTGTTAGTAACTGATCACCATATTCAAACAACATGATTTATTCCAGATAACATTTCCACATATCAGGAGTATATCCAGATGGTAACAAATTACCTTTTGTGACTTTTCTGCCACCATCAATACCAGGTGAAAATCATATGTGCCCAGTGCAACATCGTACAGCTCATTCACATCCACAAGGTAGAGTAAGTGTCTCAGAGACTCATTCATTCCCACTGGATTGTTGCCTTAGAAATCATGGAAATGAAACAGAAGTACAGGTTCAAATCAGCAGCTTACTATCAATAATGGTAGTCTCCTGAATGGAGGACATAGTAACAACCTGAAGCAGTACCAATATCAATATCTTAAACTTCTACAAATTAAGACAGTGAAATGTCTTATTTCTAAGAAAATTAGATAAAGACTTAAAATTCTGGTATGCAATTAGAGTTCAGGGGCCAGTTCCAGGGTTAAAATGAGGTTAAAATTAGGTTAGAAACTGGTCTCAATTTCAAAACTGAAAACTGTACTCTGCTTTTACCAATGATAAATCTGTAGTACATGGTCCATGCCTAATACTGTAATTTAAGATCAACAACATTAGCCATTTCTTTTAACATCCTAAAATAGAAACATTATACACAATTAATTTCAAATTGATATTTGTTTATCCTGGACTGCAATAAACCAGACCAAATATATCTGTCTAAAAAAAATGAGAAATTAAATGTATTTTCAGACCTTCTGTGAATTTTGCTACTGTTAGAGTCACCTTTTAAATCTTTGATTTTCTGCAAGGCAAGGTCCAGTTCTGGCACTCTCTTTTTCACATGTGTTGTCAAAATGCACAAGAAATACCTAAAAAGATGAGTTGTATTTATACTTTTCTTATCAACAATGGCACTTAAATGCACAATCCTGGAAATTACTAATTTTGTTTAGAAAAGATTCTACATTTAAATGCACAATCCTGGAAATTACTAATTTTGTTTAGAAAAGATTCTACATTTAAATGCACAATCCTGGAAATTACTAATTTTGTTTAGAAAAGATTCTACGCCTGGGATTTCTACTTAATACTTCTACTTACTTATCAGCATTCAGTTGCTCTAATGCTGTTCTCACTGCATCACACACTCTATCCACTTTCACTGGTTTGCTGTCATCATCTTCCATTGGTTTTACCCTACCATATATCCCTGGGTACATAGTAATAGTAACATCTTCTTCTCTGCAAACAATATCAATGCGTTACTTTTCAAAAATATCATAACATTCATATTCATAGAAGAGGTGTTCACATGTTGTCTTTATGTAAAATGTCTTATTAAAAACTTACTGATTCTAAGAAAAATAAAAGGGTGATAAAGCATGAGAAAATTTATGCATTTCATTTGTTAAAAATACCCCAGAATATTTGCTAAAATCTGACAAACAGATGCTTTTTTATATGAAAATAACTTACTGAAGGTCTGCCAGGAACAAATTAATATGCGTTGGAGAGTCAACAAGCTGAATAAATTTCTTGACATTTTCCAGAAATACTTCAGGATTATGGTCATAAATCAAGTTCATATTGATTCTGTGCTTCATCATCAGTTCTATGGCTAATTTGAACTCCAACCTGGGCACAATAAAATACCAGGGTTACAGACCAATAATCAATATCCAAAATTCAAATCTTTAAAGGAACTGTGTACCTAAATTTGCATTTTAACAGTATTATATGCCTTTAAAACAATATGGAAAACACAAATGACCTAAAAATTAATTTTTAATAACCAGAAAAGATTCAACAATTTTTTCATATTTAAACAAATATAAAAACATGACCTCATCAGTCACAAACATCTAACAATAATGATTTATAATTTAAGCAATAACATCTAAATGTCACAATCTAAAATCTATGCACAAAGAAACATCAAGTTGTTACTGCTTAATGTAAGTAAAAGGTATGAATGACTTACCTATCCAGATATTTTCTAATAGCAGACAGCAGTAAGGCTCTTGGGTGAATGGTTTCCAAATTCCCTCTGGGCATCTGTAGGATTAACTTTGTATCATCGGGCACAACTGTCACAATGCGAGATCCACGCTCTATTCTTCTTATACTTTCATCAAATGGATGTGCCTTACCATCAGAGAGAGATGGAAGGTCTGAAAAAAATTTTTTTGACAACTTACAGATAAAAGCACCCTCATTGATTAACCCCAGAAAAACTGAAAGTCAGGGGTGGTGTTTTTGTTTGATATTAGGTTTGAAATGCACATAATGCATTCCAATAACAGATTGAAGTTATATTCAAATTAATTTCAGAAATGAACTGGTCACTGGTCAGTTATGGCATTATATTGTTTTTGCAGAAGATAATAGTTGAGAATTTATGGGGAAATAAAGCAATAAAAGATATATTCCAATAAATAAGAGAAAAGGAATTAAAATAACAAAATTGACCTACCTTTAATTCTGATACTGCGACTTATACACCTCAGAGTGTGAGACAGTGTAGTCAGCAATAAAAATGATTCATGAATGGCAAATGAGGTACAATTAGAGGCTACCTGTCATCAGAAAAAAGAAGTGATAATCAGCTAACCTATAAAGTTATCTCTTATATTCTTTAAAAACATTTCAAATTATATACTGACAATATTTCATCTTTTCTGGTAGTTTTGAAAATAACAAGGATTAAACTGTAACCAAGGTTGCATTTGCAATACAGTTTTCAAAGTTTAGTCTTCTTATTCCTTACATAAAAAAATAATAAAAAGATTTTTGAAAGTAATAAGCCACAACCCTAATATCAACAGGAATGGATTAAAGTGATCACAATGAAAACTATTTACTCCAGAAGTCACTTACCTCCATTTCATTTACATAGCACCTGTATCTCTCTGTTAGACCTATAACAACCTCCTGCAAAACATAGCAGTGATTTATAATCAGTATGATATTTCATTGGAAGGGAAAAATTATTTGTGCAAATTAAAAGTTTTATCTTCCATTCATTTTGAATTAATGACACAAATAAGCATCACTGGTGTTTATCTTTTGAAGCAAATAAATTCAAAATGGAAGCAGAATCTTTCAAATATCTCATTTACCTCTTCTCCTATGGTACATACAGCCATTTGCATACATGGTTGTGGAAAGTGAACCTCATGTCCATCCAAAGATTCCCATGGCAAAACGAGTCCACTATCTAGCATAATGTATAAAAATAATTACACCATCATATCTTAAAATATAAGTATCACTATCGGTTGTATCTCAAGCTTTTCACATGCCTCACTTATTACAAACATTTTATATCAAGATTACTCAAAAGACAACGCTATTAGACCCACAGCAACTCATGATTCAGATTTATCAAATAAAAAATCTTAAGTAATTACAAATACAAATTTATATGGAAACTATAATAATATATTTTTGCTTAACTTTTGTAAAAATTACAATGTTCTATTATCACAAAACTCAAAATTTATTACTGCAGAGGTGTGTAGCTCTTTGGCCTCAGATACAAATAAACATTTGCAGTTCTACAAATGCAAAGAATCATTCTGTTAAAGAAATAACATTTGATATATTTTAATATTCTTACCGTGCTGATATTTTAAAAGTGAGCCACTGGCCAATTGGATGGCAACATGTGCACTGGGGCAGTTGCACATACAAATAACCTTTTCTTCTAGCTCAAACGTTTCACTACAAATAAGAAGAACAAGAACATTTCAGTTGATCTTATCAGTTTCAACATACTATTACAATCCCTTCTATGATACCATGCCAAGTACCTATCTATATTATTTCCTGGTTACCATGCAATAACAAAAAATTCATAAAAATAATGAAAACCAACACGTTTAGTGACACAACAAAATTAACAGGAAAGTTTTAAATAGAGGGAAAAAGGACTCACAAAAAAATCTGAACATACCGTACAGTATATGTTTTGTTGTCTGCATTTTCAATCAGTTCAGCTTGACATAAGGAAGAGTTCCCGCTATTTGATGGCATGACAAAGAGGATACAAGTAGGATTCACCCACACCAGGTGAGAGATCCCCAATGGATGATTAGACTGGTTACTACTCTCTTCAACTTGGGCACTGAAATGAAAATAGGCATGCCATCAAATAATATGTAAAAAGTTTAAATTCTACATGAGAGATGGTGTTATATATCCAAGATAATTTTTGTATAATGTGAAACTGTACAATTTAATCTAGTATCTTTATAACTTTTGTCTTATGCATTAAAAGAAAATCCAAACTTAGACAGATACTATGTCAAAAGCACTTTTGCCAAGATCAAATCAAGATATTGAGTGTCCTGTATTGAAACATAAATTAAACTCATGAACATAATCATTCAAATAATAACCATGGCCTTAGTCAGAGGGCCTCAGGATATACTGTGACCCAATAAACAGTTAAAGTACACCAAAATTTCAATCTAGGAATACCTATAAGCATGGTGGCATGTTCCTTGGAATGTTCCTTGAAATGATGGGCAAATAATTCAAATTGCATGCAAGATTATTTTGATATATGACAAAACCCTCAAGAGCTTCTTATATGTACCTGAAGATTCCACTTAGTCTTGGTGGCACACACGGCATTTGGAAACCATTACCACCAGCTTGTATTTTAACTGAAGCATCATGTGTGATGGCACTCTTATTTCTGAATGAATCCTGATCTGATAATAAGAAATTATAAAATATACTTCAAAATAAAGCAAAACAGATTAAAGTATTTTACATGTAAAATTATCGTACACATATCAAGCTATAACATAACTTCAAAAATTAATGGACCATTTCTGTTTTCAAGATAGTATTCTGATCTTTGTTGGTCATAGACTTAACAACACAGTATATCTACCATCTTATTACCTTCCTTTGAAAAATTATATATAGCAATCCTTCCATCTGCCATCAGGATTGCCATTCTTTCAGAATGTGGGTGTTGGGCAAAGACGACTTGATCGACTGGCTCAGGTAGCTGTATGTGATATGCACACATGGGAGGAGGCACAACCATGGACCTAAATGGGGTAATAAGAACCCGACCTGAAATTCAAAATTAAAATTAAATTTTGATATTCACTACTTGATGGTTTGACTGCAATTGTGAAAAGTTCCTAATCCAAAGAATCTAACACGATTCCTTTCTACAATATGCAGTCACAAACTGAAAGTTGAAATTACTTGACAGGCTATAAATCCAGTTTTTATTTAACCAAACATTTGATTATCAAACCCTGACTGTATCACAACTTTGCATCTTACTTCCATCTATCACAGCCACATTTGCCTGGTCATTTTCACTGCCTCCAAGACTACAGTCAGTGGCAAAGGACCATGTGTACTGCATGTAGTTGCCTTCACTGGACACAATGTGCAACGTTAATGCATGTTCTGGGTCCCACAATATTGAAGTAGCTTTGTCAAATTGTGACTTATCCCAGATCAGTGTCTGCTTCAAATACCAATGGTAGTTGTTGACAGTCCATAACTGAACTGAAATTAAGATAAAATGATTATTTTAAGAGCAGTTAAAGAATCTGTTAGCTATTTTGCATCTCCAAGAAAGCAAATAATTTAACCAAAAGGCTTCATCATTATTTCATATGCCTTATTTTCCAGAGATGAGAATATTAAACTTTTTTGAAACTTTTTATTACTCACCATAAGACCTAGAACTTTCCTCTTCTGCACCATTGTTGAGCTTTTCACAAACTACCGCTAAAACTGTGGAATCATTGTTCCACTGTAACTCGGTTATCTAAGGAAGAAAATGGTCTTTTTAAAAAGTGAACTTCATAAGCCTTAAGCTTCTGCAAGAAGCAAACTAAACAAAACCATTTTTGTCTTCTATACCATGAAACATAAATAACACAAGCCACAAAAAAACAATGTGTAAAATGTACACATCAGCTGTGCCATATATATTGTACATACCAGAACTTCATCTCTTTGAAAAGGCATAGTAAATTCTCCATGCTTTAGCCCATTCTTCTCAAAGAGCACAACATCATATTTGTTTGGCTTTCTCTGGACTGAGGCAATCAGATTGCCACTTGGTCTGCAACACAATGAAAAAATAAAAGCATTTGTAGAATCTATTGCCAAAAACAGTATTCCTGGACATTCTTTGTTTTATCACAAATTGTTTTAGTTCACAACAAAATGGATGTCTGCCACGTACAAATGAAGCAATAGCTTCTTCTGAACACCCAAAAGGAAATTTTACATCAACCTTACTTGCAGAGAAATCCCATAATTTCAATCAAAAAGATAATAAAATACACATGTGCTAAAAATTCAGAGAAGGAATTCACCTCCACGACAGGGTATGTTCCAATCCATCCAAGTTTTCACTGGTAGACTGTAAGACACAGTCCCTGCTCCACACACGTAATTTTCTAGCTCCTGAAAAACAATCTAACCACTCACAACTGCCATCTTAAATTACTGGTTCAAATATGTAAGGTTATTGAGAAAGTAGTTTCATTCATTGGGATATTTGTTTATTCATATTGAATGGAATACAGTGACCATATATCTATGCAAGTATATGATGAAAAATAAAGACGTAAAAAACACTAAAATAAAAATAGGCAAAAACCATGTTAAAGCAAGAAGAAGGGAAAAATACAAATCTGTACTGCATATAAGTTATATACAGATATTATTGTGATTGAAAAATATTTTCTTGCGATTTACCTGTATCTGGACTGATGGAGCTAACCACAAAGAACTGACCATCTCCCCTCCAGCTGATGCAAGGCATGCCATCATCCCATGGAAGAGCTGGTGTTAATGCCTGAATAAAAAATATTACAGTAACGGTAAAATAAAGAATGTGGAATATCTTTACCAATAACTAACATGAAAGAATGCCACAAATTAAATAAAAACATTCTAGCACACACGCTTTGATATTATTTGGTTGGTGATTTTCAAAAATAAGCAGGATTGGTTTTGAAAGAAAAATATGCACATGCAGCATCCCACTTTTATATAGCGGGTAGAAGACAGAAAGGCACATGAGAAAATAGCCCATCAGCAAAATTACTTTTAGTGAGCTTACTTCTTTTTTCAGAACAGCAGCAGCCTTGCCAGCTGATCCATGGAACTGAGTCTCTTTTTTCCCCCACCCAACTGTGATAAACTGGTCTGGAAAAAATCCAAGATTAGATGACAAAATCAGTGCACTGCCATAAGTTTTTAATCACTACATTCTAAACACTTAAAAATATACTTCTATAAGTTTATATCATATATCAATCCATAACTGAAATTCATGGAATTATTTTAAGTAGAAAAATGACTGCACTCCTAATAATGTGTGCTGAAAGCCAACTCTCTAGTAAAAAAATGGCAATATGTGATAACTGAAACATGACCAATTTTGATTTTCCATCTCCTGAACACATACCTTCCCCAAATCCTTCAGGATTCATTGGTACCTCTGTCAGTGGGTCAAAGTCCTTGGTCATCATAATCAAAGTGTTGTTTCCTGTAGTTAAAAATATGTGATATAAATACCAAAATAATCAGCTCCCTGTTTGACAAAAGTTAAGTGCACATTTAATTATGCAAGCCTCTTTTCCAAGTACTAGTATTCCACAAACAAAAAATTTTTTACATAAATTTTATTGATAAAAAGTTAAATATATACGTAATCCATGAAAAAGTAGTTTTAATTTAATCTGATGTTGGTTTTTATGCAAAGCATCACTATTACAGCTTAAATTTGAATAGAATCAATTCTAGAATGCAAATAAATCTAAATAGGCACAGTGAAAAGCCAATATTGGAATATTTCCAACAGCTGAAAGAGAAACAGAATGTTGTGACTAAGTTTTTATTTAAGTATAAACAACAAGATATATTACCAGTGGAAAGTACCACCAGTTCCTGGTCTGGACTCCAACTCATCCACCTCAGTCCACTCTCCACACTGCCAACACACTCCAACTGTAGAGAAAAAACAAGAGCCATAAATGGACATAAGAAGGTTTTGCTAACACACACACACACACACACACACACACACACACACACACACACACACACACACACACACACACACACACACACACACACACACACACACACACACACACATACAGA